AAATATAAATGAACGCCAAAGCACACTCAAACACAATCAAATGATCACGGAGTTCGGACCTTCCGTCCTACGTCTCCGCTACCCACTCCAGGGGAGAAATCCACTATCATAACCAGGTTTTCTACGTTCACCCGAATAACGTTTACACCACACAATACGGTTTTCTAGTTTACCGAAAACTCTACAACTAACACACTCTTGTAATCCCACTCTACACCCTCTCAAGTGTTGAACTAGACGTGTCTCCCTCAAGTTCTCGGATACAACCTCTCCCTAGGTTCGTCAACCGACGTCACTCCTCTTGGGACGATCCTCGACTCTCGCCACACACTTCTCTCGGTGTACAAGTGTATTACAAAGTGTATCCTCACAATTAGGCACAATACAAAGTGTTTGTTCTCTATAATGGATGAGAACGAATAAAATCTCACACTCAATTGTTACAACTCTCACCAACCCAAATATACTATGTATGTAAATACAATAAGCTCAAGTGGGTGTGTGTGTAAACAATGAGTAAAATCAAATCTAACTCAAATAGCAAACTAGCAATAATAAGAATATGAAAATCAATAATAATATTGCTAGAGAAAAGAGTTAGAAAACTTCTCTATAAACACAAAGAGAGGATGAGAAGATATTGAAGATGAACTCCTCAACAGATGATGCAAGCTCCTCTTTATAACAGCAAACCCTAAAAACAAACTAAACAAACTTAAACTCTTTTAAAATTTGTTTAAAACATTTTTTGGGTTAGGTTGAGAACTGAGATCAAGGGGGTATTTATAGCCTCCCAAAAACTCAGCCAAGAACCCCAAACAAAAGACCAAAAACCCCAACGAATCAAAAATATGATTATGTACCAAATATGACCATTGGACGATCGACGGTTGACCGTGGGAAAATCGCGGTCGACCGCGAAGGTCATTGAAATTGAGAAAAGCACGACGGTCGATCGTGAAAACTTACAGATTGACGGTCGACCGTCGCGGTCTACCGTGAAAGTTTCTGCTGACTTCTCAGGAAAAAAACATGGGCGCGGTTGACCGTGGTGGTCAACCGTGAACTGATATATGAAATTTTAGGTTTTGAAAACAGTTTGCTGATTTTAAAACACTGTTTAAAAATATCAAATAAATTCCAAAAATTATGAAACTTTGGAAAATGATTGTAGACATGATAGTCTAAAACACAAAATAGTCCAAAACACAAAAATGTAAACATATAAATTTTAACATTTAGGCTAAACCATGTTTTAAAACTTTGCACAATAATTATGTAGTCTTAATAAAATATGTATATGATTATTGTTAAGTCTAAAAACTAATAATACAATATTTTTACAAATACAATAGAAAATGAAACATATGAGTATGTATATGAAAATATATTTGTTTCATATCTAAGTAGTTAAACCAAATCACAATAATAAATATGAAATATGTAATTTCATATTTATAAACATAAAAATCAAAACTTGTGTTGTATATATATATAAACATAAAAATCAAAACTTGTGTTGTATATATATATGACTACATATATATACAAGGAAACCAATAAAATTTGTGTGTATATGATATTGAGCTTAGAGTATCTAGCACACGTAATATAAAACCTAAACTAGATTACCCAAGCCGATCTTGATCTTCAATAAGCTTGACTTGGTACACTATGCGGATGAAGCTGAACTTGGATCTTGAACTTGAATTGCATAAGCTTCACTCCACAATTCCGCCAACCTCCATTGGATATGATCGTTGAAGCTCTATTCCATCCATCCTCCAACTTGTTGTTTGCCTAGAATAAATACAAAATACAAATACTAGAAAAACAACATTAGATGTAAATTGTTTATAAATCATCATCAAAACAAGAAGGCAAACACTACCATTAACAGATGTTTTACACATGAAAAATCAAAATATTAGTTATTAATTCCAAGAATAATTCCCTTTAAAATTATTTTTCATTATTAATCTAAAATAATTCTTATTCTCAAAACAAATTCTTTTTAAATATTATAAATTCTCTAAAATAAATCCATTACCCAAATTAAATTCTTTTAACTTATTATAATTATTCCAAAAATAATATTTATCACATATCTATTATTTAAATCAATATTATTCACCAAACAACCCACGTAGATAAATATTAACAGATCTAAAATTGTAGATAATTTATAATAAATAGAAAGATTCAGATCTGAGCAATCAGGATCTTGCCTGCGAGGCTAAAGGGCTGATGACGAGTGGCGGGGCCGATGCGGCCACGGTACGACGGATCTGAATGGTGAAGGGCAGTAGATCCAATGATGGCGCGGTCATCAAAGGTCTGATTGATGACGGATCTGAGCCGAGGACGGCTGGACAGCGGACGAGGGGGTGCTTTAGGTGGGGAAGAGTGCGAGAGGGTGTCAACGTTGGGGGTTGTCGTCACGGAAGTGCGCTAACAAAGCGAGAGCGGGACAGCAAGTTAGGCTGCAGCTCCAGAGGAGGGCGACAAGGACGACTTAGGGTCAGCCGGTGTCGGATCTATGCACTGAGCATGAGCGAGGTAGGCAACGACGGCGAAGCTAGTGGGGGCATAGGATGCTAAGGGTGAAGAAGGACGGCGGGGGAGGCAGGCCAACCTGCGTCTTGCTGGGCCCGCCCCCGGGCGCGCCCGCCGTCGTGCCGGTGCTGGTCAGGCGTAGCGTGGCTTCGGTCCTGAGACGCGCCGTCAGGAGGGAAGGCGGCAAGATCGGGCAAGAGAGGTGGATGCGGGCCCTAACGGGGCAGTGGTGCGTATCTAAGGCGCAGACCGTACGTGTGAACACGCTAACGCAGGGAACAGGCGCAAGAACATGGGGTTGGGTTCAGGCCGCTGACGGCAGTTCGGCGGTGGTGCTTGTGATGGGTATGAATGGGTGCTCCGGGAGAGAAAAGAGATAGAAGAGAAGACCGCTGAGCTAGGGCTTAGGAAGAAGAAAGAAGGAGAGAGAAGACGACGGGGAAACGACTAAACTTATATATAATAGGCCTAGGACTAGCTGCTATGGTATATAGGTAGATAAGAACTGGTGATAAGTGGAGGTATGAGCCGGGGGCAGGTGAGGGGGGGTAGGGAGCGGGAAGGAGGGGGATACACTATAGTATCGGACGTATATATAGACCGTAGATATATAGTATATATATGCTATTATATATATAGGTTAAGTGAGATATCGCTAGTATGATGAGGGGTAGGTAATATATAGAAAGCGGGTCTTGGGTTAAGTTATTGTGTAAACCACAACAGAATTAGATTAAAGGGAATAGAGAAAGGACGATAGACGTAGAGGAGTATATGTCGCAGGGGTGAGTGAAGAAGAGGCAATCAGAAGAACAAGCAGGCTAGTGAGCGGGAACGGGAATACAGGACAGTATAGGATATGACACAGAGTAGAAGAGGCAATCAGAGGTAAAGGGCAGAGTGGAAACGGAAAGTGGAGCGTTGGTGCTAAAGCTAGTTAGGGGGAAGAACGAGGGAGAAGTGTGATGGGGTAACAAGAATATGGGTCCAAAGGCAGAGTAATGAACACATAATTGGTACCAATTAATAGAAGAATAATATAATAAAAAAATATACTTGGTGAGCGGTCACATTTAAAATCACAAATAATTTGAGGAGCCGAAAGTCAAATGTGATAAGACGAGCGGCGGGAGGGGGGAACTAGTGGGAGGCGGGGAGCGGGTGAGAGACATAAGCGGAGGGGGAGGGAGGAGGAGAACGGGGATTGAACGGAGAGGAGGGGGTGGGGAGAGGGAGGGCGGCGGAGGAGAGGGAGGGGCGGCGGGACCGGCAGTTATACGAATACGGAGCGAGAGATAATGATGGTAAGGACGAGTAGGAGGATATACAAGCTGGAAAGATGAATGAGGTGTGAGCAGAGCGGAAGGGAGGGTGGATGAGTGCGGACGGGGGGGATGTCGAGTAGCGATGTCAGAATAAGGTGAGGAAGGGCTGAGGGGGGAAGATGGAACGACAGGAGTGTATGAGGGGCAAAATAGTATATGTAATAATAATAATAATAATAATAATACCTCATATTTTTCAAAGTGATACGTAATAGTATCAGTAACATAATGGATAAATTCTAGAAATTTGTACTGCACTAAATAAATTTAAAAATATTAAAATCATTTAAATAAATATAAAACTTAGATTTTAAATCATAGAAAATTATAGAAAATTCAAGAAAAATATAAATACTCTTTTAAAAATTATAAGTAAATATTTTAAAAATTTATGATCCTTACGTTCTACCCCCCTTAAAACAAATTCCGCCCTCGGAATTAAAATAAAGACCCAAGGACAGAGATATGGAACGAGAATGGATACTCGCAAATCGACGAGACAATAAACAATGTAAAGCTCCATAGTCAAAGAGTGATAAGGCAATAACGGAAGAAACAAGAACCTTATCTAGTATAGGAAAATACATCTAAACTAGCACTCATAAATAAATCCTATCATAATATCATAAGGCAATGTGAAATAAGGAAGTTCATATGCAAATAAAACTAAGAATAACTACTCTTACCAGAGATCACCTGGTTGTTCTCCTTAGCTTCCACGGCCGTCATCATGAATGTCTGACGTGGTGGTTGCTGCCTTCATGCTTCCTGATAAATCTGTTGCTGTGGAGGAAGAGGGCCTGCTTGATGGTAGGGTCCGTGCTGAGCTGGAGCTGCTGAGTCTGATTGAGGTGGAGCTGGAAGAGCTGCTCGAGCTGGAGGTGGGGGCAAGCTGACCTGCTGCCGCTACGGACATTCCCGATTGACATGATTGGGGGACCCACAGTTATAGCACAGATGAAGAAACCTGGGGCATTCTTGCTGAGTATGCCCAGGGTTGCTACAATAGGAACACTGTACCGAAGGCCGGCCATGAGTCTACACTCATGGGTGCTGATAGAGATGCACATGAGGAAGTGGCTAGCATTGAGAAAACTATTGCCTCTGCGGGGCCTGCTGCTACTGCTTTAAAGAAGGACGCTCGATAGTCCTAGATGGAACTACTAGTGCCCTACTCTGAATCACATGTGTGTCTTCAGGCTCCTTCTGCATGCTCTCAATCTCACGTGCTGCATCCAGTACTACATCGCGCATCGCAAGTGCTCTACCAGCCAGAGAAAACCTGATATACTTATCCAGGCCCTTCTGAAACTGATGCCTCCTGATAGTGGGGTCTGTAGCAAGATGAGGAGCGTATCGACTCAAGGAAGAAAACTTGGCCTCGTACTCATCAACAGATCTACCTCCTTGCTTGAGTTCAACAAACTTACGCAAAAGCTCGTCCTGAGCCGACTGAGGGAAGTACTTCCTGTTGAAACGGTCTGTGAAGGTATCCCACAAAATCGGTCTCTCCAAATGAGCCTTCTCTGCAGTCCACCAAATCCGAGTGGTGCCGGTGAGCTGAATATGCATGAAATCCACCCATTCAGCATGGGGAATGCGGGTCACCGTGAGAATAGTCTCAGTGAACTTCAAGAATTCTTCCGCTGCTAGGGGTCCTTCAGCACCAGAGAAAGAAGGGGGCCGTATATACCGGAACTCCCTAACACTAGACTCTGGACGATGGGGAGGCTGATGTTGAGGCTCCCGCTGTAAATGCCCAGCCAAGAACTGCTGATTCACTACCAATCCATGAATCATCTCCAAAAGTTGGTGCGGTTCCACTTCAGGCGGCGGGGTACTGCTACTGGGCTGGCTACCATTATCACGCATAATCACCATGGTTCTAAAGAAAAAACAAGGATCAAGAGGATAACCAATGTTAAAATCAAAACAAAATATTGGGAAAATAGGAACTAAAATATAATTATCAAAATAATAGTATAAGAAATTAATTGTAGTCTTATGGATGAACTATGATATGTATCTAAATTGTCTACTATATTCTTATTAGTGAGGACTCAGGACCGTGACCTACATGGGCCACCACTAAAACCTGTCACGCCCCGCTTCCCAAAATACCCAGGAATCGAAACGTGAACAAGTCCGTGACGTATTAGATTGACAAGAAATATACACTATCATTTTTTTCTCAATCTAATATGCTAAGCGTCGAATACATAAATCTCAATCACAGGTCCCCGATCTCAATAGCAAGAATATAAAGACAATCCAGAATAAGAAATAAACATATCATCCATGGTAAATCATCCCAGACATAAAAATATGGGTAAAACATACCCTTATTACAAAATGGTCCAACTAGGAATAAAAATACATAGTCTTGTTAGACCCTAGAGGAGGGGTGATTAGGGTCTTACGCTAATCTAATCCGATTATATGCTAATTAAAATTAATTAACAAGTTATCCTAGCAAGTATGAAATACAACAAGATATATGAGCTAGGATAAGCAATATGAACTAATGGATATATCCTAGCAATGAGATATGCTATGAGATATATGTAAGGATATAAAACTAACACAAGGGTAAAATAAACATAAACAAGATAGTGAATGATATAACAATGAGCAATGCACAATTGGCGATATGAGCAAAAAGCACAAATAAGAATGAACGCCAAAGCACACTCAAACACACAATATGATCACGGAGTTCGGACCTTCCGTCCTACGTCTCCGCTCCCCACTCCCGGGGAGAAATCCACTATCACGACCGGGTTTTCTACGCTCACCCGAATAACGTTTACACCTCATAGTGTCGGTTTTTAATGCTCACCGATCAACGTTCACTCATCACACTCAGTTTTCTAGTTCACCGAAAACTTTACAATCTCGACACACTCGGTTTCTAGCACACCGAAAACCTTAAAACACTCACAATGTAACAAATATAAATTTGTTCTCTACAATAGATGGGAACACAATGAAAGCACAACTCAACACTCACAATGTAACAAATATAAATTTGTTCTCTACAATAGATGGGAACACAATGAAAGCACAACTCAATGTTATAATCTCTCACAACCCTAATATACTATGTATGCAAATACAATAAGCTCAAGTGGGTGTGTGTAACAAAGAGATAAATCAAATCTAAACCCAATATAAAAACTAGCTTAATAGAAATGATAATCAACAATTATAAATAAAGCTAGAAATAGAGTTTAGAAAACTTCTCAATAGATCAAGAGATTGAGGAAGGATGGTTGGATGCTCAAGCACCAATAGGATCTCCTCAAGCTCTTGTGAAATTGATTCCACAAACCCAAAATACTCAATTACTTAAAAGCTTCTTTAAACAAACTTAAACAACACTTAAACCCTTGTTAAAATATTTTAAACCATTCTCTTGGGTTGCATTTAGAACTGAGATCAAGGGGGTATTTATAGCCTCCCAAAACCTCAGCCAAAAACCCCAAACAAAAGACCAAAAAGCCCCAGCCAATGACTGCAAGAATATAGCCGTTAGGATGGAAAAGACAGCGCGGTGGTCGACCGTGACGTTCTCGCGGTCGACCGCGAGGCATATGCAAAGCTGAGTAACTTCCAGAGAGTTTGGCGGTCGACCGTGGCGATCGACCGCGGGTACTGTAGCACTACGTATTAGTTTTGTAAAATAAATTAAAAATAGTAAATCAGATCCAAAAATTATGAAATTTTGTGGGAAGGTTTTAGACATGTAGAATGACATGTTAGAGAATGAATTTCTTAAAAAGCATTTCTCAGTTGAGAGAAATAAATTTTTGAACATAGATATACAGTTTCTGAAAATCTGCTGACATACACGATTTTGTAAAATCAATTGGGAATAGTAAATCAACATAAAAAATAGTAACATTTTGAGGGAAGTTTCTAAACATGTAGATAAACATGTCAAAGAAAGATTTTCTTGAATATCACTTCCCATTTATGAAAACTCATCTGTTTTGTAAAACATGCATGAACATGCACGAACGAAAAACATGATTTTGTAAATTCAATTAAACATAACAAATCAATTTTAAACTTGATGAAACTTTGGGAAATATTTGCAAATGTGATTTTGAACATGTTACAAAAAATAATTTTCCAATTTGCATTTCCCAATTATGGAATCTCACTATGTTACAAAATCACATAAGTATGGACTTGTAAAAGCTTGATCTTAACAAAATGAGTTTAAACAAAGTTTTAAAAACTTTCCAATAGATTTATAATGTCGTTAAGTCTATAATCCAAAATGACGATAAACCAAACCAAACGCGTGTGTGTGATATTGAGCTTGAAGTATTAACACACATAATGTAAGCCCTAAACTAATTTACACAAGCTTGATTGGTCTTCAATATGTTTGACTTGGTAATCTCGCGGATGAAGCTTGAACTTGATCTTTAACTTTGAATTGCAAGGTTTTACTCCACTATTCCACTAACCTCCATTGGATATGATCGTTGAAGATCTATTCCATCCATCCTCCAACACGTTGTTTGCCTAGAATTAATACGAAAACACAAACACTAGACAAACAACATTAGATGTAAATTGTTTGTTAAATCACCATCAAAACAAGAAGGCCAACAAGTCTATGACAAAAGAAAATACTGATAAAATAATTGAATCCATCATCAAACTAAGGACAATACTATAAAGAGTTCTAATGTCCCACAACAACTATAGAAGAAAACTACTACGCTTCAGCTTGTTCCTCTACTCCATCTGCAAGGCACTCTTACTGTGAATCCTCTGGCTCCTGTACGATTTCGAGCTGAGGCTGCCCGTCTCCTAAATCTGACGTACACCAGAGAAAATAGGTGTATGTTAGCATGCATAGCACACGGCAAGATCCCACATAGAAAAATATAACAGTCGTATGACCAATGCAAAAACCGATGCAACAATGGAAATAACAAAAGAAGCATGCAACTAGGAATATAACAAAAACAATATGCAATCCACTACTAACGATAACAATCAGAAGAATCCATAAACATCCGAATAACAAAGTCATACAACTAGATACAATTAATACTTAAAAGTCTACAATAAGAGACGTAGTACGTCGAGCGAAATAATCAGAACAAGGAAACCCTCATGTATATACCATATGTCTCAAATTGTAGATAATTAAATATAATCCCGATCTATATATAAAAAGAAATACAACTGTCCTACATCTCAAAAGAATCATACTTGGCCAAGAATCGATGTCATGTAACTAGTCATCCTACAACAAGTCACTAGTTCACAACTTATACAGAGTCAATGCTCATATTATCGGGTAACTGACTGATAGCAAATCACAAATATCCTAACTCCTCAGACCCACCCCGGTGACTACACAAACTTCACCGACGTGAGCCCGAATACACAAATATCTCAACTCCTCAGACTCACCCCGATGACTACACAAACTTCACTGGAGCGAGCCTAGAAAATACATCAACAATCACAAATATCTCAACTCCTCAGACCCACCCCGATGACTACACCAACTTCACCGGCGTGAGCCCGGAAAATAAATCAACAATCCCAACCGCTCACATGGACCAAGACTTCTCACCCTAATTCTTGTAATTCCAGGTCAACTAAACACGAGATTCTAGATCCTAACTGTGTCATACAGGTCACCATAGTCATGTACTTCTCATGATTCTCAATATGTAATAATAAATACAATTACACTAAGTGTCCATGTCATGAAGTGTGAACAGGGGTCGTGATCACATGCGAGAAACATACGAGAATAAAACTACTATTAACAATGCAAGATGAAACTACCATTAACAGATGTTTTACACACGAAAAATCGAAATCTTAGTTATTAATTCCAAGAATAATTCCCTTTAAAATTATTTCTCATTATTAATCTAAAATAATTCTTTTTCTAAAAACAATTTTTTTTAAATATTATAAATTCTCTAAAATAAATCCATTGCCCAAATTAAATTCTTTTAACTTATTATAATTATTCCAAAAATAATATTTATCACATATCTATTATTTAAATCAATATTATTCACCAAACAACCCACGCAGATAAATATTAACAGATCTAAAATTGCAGAAAATTTATAATAAATAGAAAGATTTAGATCTGACCAATCAGGATCTTGCTTGCGAGGCTAAAGGCATGATGACGAGTGGCGGGGCCGATGCGGCCGCGGTATGACGGATCTGAATGGTGAAGGGTAGCGGATCCGATGATGGCGCTGTCATCAAAGGTCTGATTGATGACGAATCTGAGCTGAGGGTGGCTAGACAGCGGGCGAGGGGGTGCTGCAGGTGGGGAAGAGCGCAAGAGGTGTTCGATGTTGGGGGTTGGTCACTGTGGAAGGTAGCTACTGCAAGGAGGAGCGGGGGTGGCCGAAGTGGGCGACGCTCAGAGGAGGGCGATGGGAGCTAAGGGTCGCAGCGGTCAGAAGCTGTGCACGAGCTCAGGAGGTGGGGATGGCGCGGAAGCAGCGGGGTAGGAATGGATTGTTGGGGGTCAGATCGGTGGGAGGAGGTAAGTCGGAGGCGTCTGCTAGGCCGTCGGGCGCGTGGGTCAGGGCTGGGTTAGCATCGGGCTGAGCGGCACGAGGAGGAAGGCGAAGATGCGCCAAGGGGAGGTGGAGATGCGCCAGGAGAGGTGGCTGTGGATCAGAGCGGCAGCGGTCGCGGCTGATGCGGGAACAGGCGGCGAGCGGGGGTTGGGTTCGAGCTCGGCGGTGAGTTCGGCGGTGGTGGTTGTGAATGGGTGCGGACGTGGGTGCTCGGGAGAGAAAAAGAATGAAGAGAGAGAGAGAGAGAGAGAGAGAGAGAGAGAGAAGAGAGAGAGAGAGGAGAGAGAGAGAGAG